CACACCCTCCGTGGCTCCTGGGCTCCCCCCACACACACCCTCCGTGGATCCTGGGCTCTTCTCCCTGCCCCCTCCTTCCTCCTCTCTGCACTGAGCCCACACAGGCACCTGCCAGGGCCAAGCATGGCAGGTGTGCCCGTCAAGCCCGATTCATCACCTGCAGCGCTCCCCATCACCTGCTCTGCAGTGAGTAATGATATAATCATAGTCGTTACAACAGAGAAGGAAGAGAATAATGAGCACATGCAGAGAGGCCTAGATTTTAGGAAAGTAGATTTCAGGGGTCACAGAAGTCATTGACTGATCCCCTGAACTTAGAATCTGCGTGGCAGAATCAGGTCACTACAGTTGATTTCAAAGAAGGGCTCCAAATGCCTGAGTCGGTGGTAGGAACAGCGAACTGGGAGGTCTTCCCTAGAACAAGGCTAAGGAAGGAGAATGCAGACCAGATGAGCACAGCCACTGCTGAAGCCATAGCCTCTAGAACCTTCTCTCTCACCAGAGCTCGGAAGGGGAAGGCAGCTGCGGGGTTGGTCAGTGTTCAGAGACATGCTTTCGTTTTACTTGAATGGGAGTCATCCCCCACCGCCAAAAACAAAAACAAAACTTTTATCAGAGCTAAATGAGAAATAAAGTTCCGTTTTAGCTTTTGGCCTTGCTGCAAGCGTCGTCCAATGCCATGAGTGTGCAGGAGCCCAGCTTTGTAATTCCTCTTCTGTTTTCCGTAGAGTTGTATCTTTGTTTCACACTATTTAAACTAAACGACTAATACTTGTTGTTTTTACAGCAACACCAGATGCAGGAGAAGATCCCAAAGTGACGCGGGCTAAGTTCTTTATCCGAGACCTGTTTTTGGTAAGCAGTTTGCGTCTTTGTTTTCTTACCACCTTAGAGTGATATTGTTCTCTACAATGTATATATTACTTACCCTTTCGTGATCTCATTTAATCTCCCCCTGAATTATGAGAGATGAGGGAAAATGTCGCTTCCTTTCCCCACTGAGCATACCGAGGTTCAGAGAGTTTGGACTTCTCACCTCAGGTCACACAGCTTCCAAGCAAGAACAGGGAGCATAGCACTTTTCCTACTGTGCCCAAGGCCCCAGGGAATGGCACTGAGACGAGCCAGACTGTGTTCACTTGTATTTTCCAAAAGGAAAGAGACCTTTGACAGACCTCTCCCTTCATTCACCCCCAAAAGGCCAATTCAGACCTTCAGATAAATTCAGGTATCTGTTTTTCTCTTTTTTTTTTTACTTTTAATATTGAGATGATTTCAAACTTACATAACTCGAGATACTCTTCACCCAAAGTGACCAGTTGGTAAAATTTTGTCACATTTGCTTTATTTATCTATCCGTCCATCCATCCATACATAGTCTCTTGAATAACCTGCAGTGTGTAGCTACCTGTGAGTTTTTACTAGCTTGAAACTAGTAGGTGCCACAATACCAAGAACATTTTCCCAGCAGTGCCCGACAGCACTGGACACATGGACAGTGTGCTTCCAGAAAGGTGGGGGTCAGCCTAGTCTGCAGTGGGGATGGTCCACAGCATGCCTGGCATTTCCGTGGGGATCGGGTACCAGCCTGACTCCTCAGGGGAGCCTTTTTCTCTACCCTCTTCCCACAACGGCCCCTGTTGTCTCCTGAATCCTATACTGAGAAAGTAAAAAGGAGAAGAAAATCAAGTCCCCAAAGTAAGTTCTGACCAACAGTGTTTCCCCCAACTTTAACTGGTAGCACGGGGAAGGGCCCTGCAGTGAGGAAGTCCGGGAAATACTGTGTAAATCAAGTGAGACAGGTTTCTCTGTTGTCAGACTGTCCGGAACGTTTGCTGTGCTGGTATGCATGCCCAATCTCTTCAGTAAGGTAGATTGATTAGTTTGTAGCATACCGCAGGCTCCCTTTTTGAGGAGCATCTTGCAAGACCATAAATAGAAAAACACATAAAAACTGTTCCATAAAATGCTGTTCTAATGAGAACTGAGAGTTAACTAAGTGTGCCCGTTAGGCATTTAAAGATTAGAAACAGAGCTACCCCCTCCCAAAATGAATGGCCTTGCCCCCACCATTCGGACGTTGGGCAGAAATCTTTTATTCTCTAACAGTGGACTCAATCTGGCTTGCATGCAGTTTGCAAGTCAGAGAAATAAAAGCCTAGGGGTTCCTGACTTAAGTTTTTTATGGTGGAATTTGCCTGGGTCAGTGAGTCGTCTGGAGTCACATTGGAACCCCTGACCCCAGACTGAGAAGGCAGCAGGGCAGGCTGCAGTGCTGAGTCTGGACAGGAGCAAATGTGGGCAAAACAATAACTTCGATGATAGAAGGCTCCGAGACAGGGTGGGGAATAAAGGCTGTACATGGAGAGGGAGAGGTATGTGGCGGGCGGGGGGGGGGGGGGGGGGGGGGCTGGCGTTGAGGAGGGAAAGGTGGACTTGGGCAGAGAAGGGGGAAGGCATAATGAGAAGAGCCCCTCGGTGAGAAAGGGCCACACACTGTGGGAGCATTCTCCTTACATGTCCGCACATGCAGAGGGCACTGGCCACCAGGAGGTTTGTCCCAGTCAGGGTCACTTCCTCCTACAACGGGGAGGCCCAAGTCATCCCCAGAGCAGGAGGACCTCAGAACGGAGGGAGGACCAGGTGGTCAGCCCCCAGTATTCCCCTCGTCACCCGCAGGCAGCCCTGTCGCCTCAGACTGGAAACCACCCGCAAGCCCACGCCCAGACCTGGGCCAGGGGGCCCTCCAGGGCAGGCATCCCCCCAAACCTTTTAGAGCAGAAGGTTTCAAAGGCAGAGCATGAGGTCGGCACCCTGGGTCTTGATGCTCTGACATCTGGTAGAAGCCTGTATATTTTAACTGGGCTTCTCATCCTGGTATTTTATGAACTCCCCTGTTTTCTTTTACCTTGAACATCATCTCCTTAAGAAAGAGCCTCAGAAGTGAGGCTCAGTTGAGCCAGTCAAGCAGAGTCTGGAATGGCCCAGCTTTCCTCAACAAGCTTATTTCTGTCATTTAAAATGAAAATGTTTAGAAATGTTAGAAAATGTTTAGTGTGTTTAGAGATAAGCAAACTGCGGCACCCTCTGTAATGGCTCTGCCTTATGTTCGTGTTGCTCCAGGCCGGGACACACCGGTCCCATCAGTACAGAAGGAAGCCTGTTCCTCACTCACCCACTGCGCGCTCCCTCCCCGGGTGCCGGTCCCTCCCCCGAGCGCTGTAGGGCTCCAGCTACCTAACCCACACGTTTCAGTGTCCATCAGTCTTGTAAAAGTTGTAATTGCTCAAGAGAAGCCTGACTATTGCTTAAAATAAGTCCGTCCTCCTCCCGGGAGGACTGTCATACCCTGAAGAACATCTTTAGACAGCACGGCAGGGGGTCTCGGTTTTTCTCCAACAGCTGATTCCCCAGATGCTTTGCAGGAAGAGGGGTGGGGTGGGGGACAAGGAGGACGTGCAGGGATCCCTGTGGGCACCTATGAGGAAACCTCCATGTGACCTCTGCATTCGCCAGCCGGGGCGGCCATAACAAAGCACCACACACCGGGGGCTTACCCAGCCTTCATTTCCTGACACTTCTGGAGGCTAGAAGTTGAGATCAGGGTGTCAACAGGGTTGGTTTCTCCTGAGGCCTCTCTCCTTGGCTTGTAGATGTTCACCTTCTCGTTGTGTCTTCACATGGTGTCTCCACATGGCCTTTCCTCTGTGTGTGTCCCAATGTCCTCTCTTCCTCTGAGGATCTTACGGGATTAGGGCCCGCCCACATGACCACATTTTAACTTAAACTACTTCTTTAAAAAGAGATCCTGTCTCCAAATAGTCACACTCAGAGGTGCTAAGGGTTGGATTCCAACATATGAATTGGTGTGGGGAGGACACAATCCAGCCCATGACAGCATCTCTCCACATTGCCCCACTTCGCTTCCCAATGCACCTTGTGAATCATGACCAGTCATGCTTTTTCTCCTCTGGGAGAGAAGCCATGAACCTCCCACTGCTAACCAGGGGACACCCCCAGGAAACACTCAAGCTCTAGGTGGAGGAGGCAGTATGACTGATCTGCGATCCACATGGAATCACTAGCCATATGCGGATATTTAAACTAAAATCCATCTCTGTTGCATCAGCTAGTAATAGTGGTTCCCGTATTGGAAGGGTGAATACAGAACATCTCCATTATGCAGAAAGTTCCATTTGATAGCACTGGTTTAGGACTGACATTCATTTCTGGAAAATTCTCCCCTGATTTCTATTAAGTGGCTGTCATTTAAATGTATGTCCTCTCAGCTGAACCCTAAGCTTCTGTGGGCAGAGGTAAGTGTGAGGTTCTTTGAGTTTCCAGCAGTGTTCAGTATTTAAACAGTCCCTACAAGCTAAGCGTTCCTATGCCAAACAAACCACAACCCCAGATCCTCTTGTCTTCAAAGTGTTGCCTGAATCCTTCTCCAAGAGCTAACGGAGTGACGGCGTGTTCCCACGTACCCCTGAGCGTGGTGGCCAGGGCCCCGCCGCACAGACAGCTTTTTTTTCTCTTTTTGCAGAGGATCAGCACAGCGACAGGGGACGGCAAACATTACTGCTACCCACACTTCACCTGTGCCGTGGACACCGAGAACATTCGCAGGGTGTTCAACGACTGCCGTGACATCATCCAGAGGATGCACCTCAAACAGTACGAACTCTTGTGAGGCAGCCCTGGGGGGGAGGGGGGGAGCGGGGGCGGGGGGCGCGCCTTCTCGCACCTTCTCTCCACCTGCCTCTCCTCCCTTGGCCACCCTGCCAGGTGGGGCATTTACTCCAGCACTGTCAGCCCCAAGCCATGGTCGAAAGTAGGGTGTTCTCAGTCTCATCCGGCTGCCACCTGTCCTGTTCTGTGTTGGCTCCCGTGTGACCACCAAGCCTCTGGCTACCTCTGTTCCCCTCGGGTTTGGTTTGTAGCTTTTGTCTTCACTGAGCGCACACAACCTCCCCCAGCGCCCCCACCCGCACCCCTTTGTGTCACTGCAGACCACTCTCACGCGGGTGGTGCTGCAGTGACATCTGTCCGGGTGAGGGTCCCTCTTATTCATCCACTCAGTGCTTTATTGATTCAGCAGGAGCTTGATAAATGGGGGAGGAATGGCACTTTTTTCCCGAATTATCAGGCACGATTGTAGAGGCAGGGGTACGAGGCAGTCAGGTGGACAAGTGGTCGCCCCTTTGGAGCTGCGTTGGCCCAAGAGCTAGGCCAGACCTCAAGTCACAGAGTGGAGAGAAACCCTTTTTTCAGTCCCATTTGAGTCGCTGCCGACCTCAGGCATTAAATTAGACCTACTTTGAGCCTTTTACATTTAGGCAGAAAACCTACCACACGCACCGCTGCAGTGTGTCCTGTCTCAAAATGACTCTCCAGACTTGGACTATGCTTGGACAAGAGTCTCCTTCCATATTTTCTTGTTGTTGTTGTTTTATGGCTGGTTTATTATAACTGTACAGACCACCAAATGTAACATTATTTTATATAACTACTTAAAAAATCCTTGTAGATCTTTGTGCCTTGATTATGGCTCTGTCTGTACAAGAAATGTGTTTTTATCGTGCTTAACAGCTAAATGTCAACATTACCTGCTGCTTGCTCTAAAAAAGAGAATGGTATCTGTAGAATTTAGGATATTTTATCAGGTTAGTACTTTTAAAAAATATCCTTGATTAAATATATATATATACACACACATATATATAAATTATACACATGAATCATTCACATTTTACCATTTTGTACCCACCTCACAAGCTTCTTTCAGAAACCAAGGATTTTTTCCTCCAGACAATATGTCTTTTGATTATTTTGCAATTTAAAGACTTTTACAAGCTCTCTGAGTAGAAATAGGCCAAGCATTCCCTTAGCCAGAGCTTTTGAACCACTCACTTGACCACAGTTTCTATTGTAAACAAGTAGCAAGAAGGAGACAGAGGGGTGTCAAGTGTTTGTGTCCAGCCTGAGAGAATCAAAAGATGGCATCTCCATTTGCCTCTTGAAGAAGAAATATTACAAAACCCTTATTTGAAATGCAAAGTCAAAATCTATGCCTGTTTCTCACAAGTGGAAGATCTGCAAACGCAGCCTCAAAAGTTATAGTACGGTACAATATCTAGAGAGAATCGCTTAGCAGTGATGCTTCATATTCTATCCACAGCCACGGCTTGGAGTGTAGTTTTCTTAGGTCCAAGGTAATCTGCAAACACGTCCAAAGTTATATTTCAACAATACAAATCCAGAAGTGATAGCTTAGCTGACGTCATTCATTTCCTTTTAGTCTTTAATATTTTCAAGTTTACTCTAGAAGGCATTTTATAATCCTTTATAAATGCATCCAGATTTAAATACTACTTGTCCAGAAAAGAGAGGATGACAACTTTCCAGGCAACCAGTGTAAGAAACACATAATTTATGTCAGCATCACTAAATTCTGGGCCTCTCATCCCTGTTGTGTAAAACTCTGATTTGAAATGAGACACGTAAAATGGAAATTATTTTCTTTCCGTTGAGCTTTCAATGTACAACATGAAGAACTGCAGAGCTGCACCCCCACATGTACACAGAAAGCGAAGTCGTGTGCTGTTACATACATTGTCACTCAGCAGTTCCCTCGCAACTGAACTTCCTATTCAGAGACAGAGCCAGACTCGTAGAAGACACACAGAAAGAACACATTTTATCTGGCTTAAAATTATCAAAACATATTTATTTTTAAGTACCAAAAGCCACTTCCCGGTCCTTTTTTCAAGTTTCTTTGGATCGTGGACAGGCATTATATTCACATTTAACAGCCTGGTCTGCCGGAGAGAAAATTACACTTCTCAAAAAATCTGATTCTATTATTAGCACAGAAGTACAAAAGTCTGCGAAAACAATATATTCCTGCTTGTGGCATCTGTACTTTTATTTTAAGTGTACAGCTTTCTAATATATAAGAGTTTGAGGACTTTGTAGGGGGACAGAAGCAAACCCAGTGTTTGTGCAAACACAATCCCGAGTGTGTTCCCGGGCCGTCGCCATCTTGGGGGATGTAGGACAGTCTAGTGCATGCAAGTGTGACTTCAATAGCTTTTACATATTGTACAGACACGATCTTTGATTATACATATATTTGATAAAATGAGGAAACAGACTTGTTGTAGAGTACGCGTTCCATTTTTATAGCATGAGAACAGTACCATCAACTATTTATTCTGCAGGAATTCGCATCAGTGATTTACAATTTCTGTGATGTGTGTAAAGACAGCCTCCTTTGATCTCATCTCACGTGAGCCCTGCCCAAGGTCCAGTTTCTTGGGCTTTGTTATGTATTAGGAAATACAAAAGTCTCCTGCTCTTTACGTTGTCTTAAATTTTCTGAGCAGGTTCCAGCCAAAAAGAAGAGGTGAGGGTAGAAGCCCAGAGTGAACTAATATGAGGACCACCAGGAGCCCAGCTGCTACACAGTATGTGGCCAGAACGGTGTTCTCGTAGGGGAGGTAGCACTTGGCGAGGGCGTAGTCTGTGGGCGTCATACTGCCCTGGAAAGGCAATGAGAACTGTTACTGCCACAGTGAGAGCCCTCCCACGGCGCCACGCGACAGACTTAGACACAATAGGGGAAAGACAGCCATCTTGGTTGAGCCAGGTGAGGCCAGGAAGTGGCTCTCCTCCTGAGGTGAAGGGGCACAGCCTTTGGCCTCCACAGGCCACCCCCCACCAACCACAAGCACTGGTTAGAGACACGAAGGGAAGGCTCCTGGCATGCTGAGTGGAGCCGAGCTCTCCATTGAAACTAGCCCCTGGCACAGCAGGTCCCCAGTGCAGTGGGCACACACAACAGAGATGCAAGAGGCTGGAGAGTCACATCAGTGGTCACTGAGAAACAAGGACAACAAGGCCATTTCATGCAACCTGTTACCCAGAAATGCACGTGCCGGGGGCACCTCAGTGGGCTTTTTTGGTAGACGTTTTTGTGATGTGGAATGACACTGAGGAATGGTCTCATTTACTTTGAATTTGAAAACATGAGGGTTTCCCCCCTCTTTTCATGAAGTAAAAGTACCTGACATAAAAGCATTAGGAGCTGGGTAAAATCAACATTGGGGGGCCACTAACTGAAACATGTCAAGTCAACTTGCAAGAGCTGTAGCATTCTCCTGCCGTAAGACACGATGATGGCATACAGCCGGTAAAGACAGGATCCCGTTTCCTTAGAAAATTAGACATGCAGAGCCTCCTATCTGAGGACGGTGCAGTCCATGGAGATGATACAACCTTCAGGATACCCCCTGCCCAGGGCAGTGCCGTGCTCATGTGTCCCCAGAGAGGCGTGCAGACGGGTCAGTGGATCAAACCAAGTGCGTGTGGGGGGCAGGGCAAGTCTGTATTTACAGCATTTGTATGTTTTTTACGGATTGCAGCAATTAAATAGTTGATTACTGTATAGATTTCAATACTTCTATGAGAGCGTTCGGATGAAAATAAACGTTCATATTACCATGATGAAGCTGGGGTTGTTTCTGTTCCTCCAACTGAAAGACGGCACGCTGATCTCGGGGACTCCGGCGCCATGGAGCACCTCACACGCACTGTGCGTGTGGCCGCTCAGGATGAGGCGAGGTCGCAGCCACCAGAGCAGCTGCCACACCCAGGGGGACAGCAACAGGCGGTCAGGGCCTGGACACAGCCCCCTCGGGGCCCAGTGCCAGGCCACCCACTTATCTCATGAAGCTAAATCTAAAATCCCTACTTGTTAGGGGGCTTTGTTTTTTCCTTAAAATCCTTTGGTTGGTTTAGACCCGATCAAAAGTAAGCTCAGGGGGTGCCTGGGTGGCTCAGTTGGTTAAGCGACTGCCTTCGGCTCAGGTCATGATCCTGGAGTCCTGGGATCGAGTCCCGCATCGGGCTCCCTGCTCAGCGGGGAGTCTGCTTCTCCCTCTGACCCTCTTCCCTCTCGTGCTCTCTCTCTCTCTCATTCTCTCTCTCTCAAATAAACAAATAAAATCTTAAAAAAAAAAAAAAGTAAGCTCAGGCTTGTAGGGAGAATCTATCCTTCTCATCTCAGATTTTATATTTTTACAAATATTTCTATAAATTTATTTTATAAATATATTTATATTTTATTGTATAGTATACCATACATTATACAAATGTTTATATAATATAAATACATTTATAAACATATATAAGTAAGCACATCTTAAGTCCCCCCAAATTAACTAAGTTCCATTCACATTTTCAAATACATTTCAGTTGATGAAAAAAACTCTGAATAAAGAATAGCTGAGGATAGGGGCGCCTGGGTGGCTCAGATGGTTAAGCGTTTGCCTTCGGCTCAGGTCATGATCCCAGGCTCCTGGGATCGAGCCCCACATCGGGTTCCCTGCTCAAGTGGGGAGCCTGCTTCTCCCTCTCCCTCTGCCATTGTCTCCACTTGTGCTCTCTGGCTCTCTCTGTCAAATAAATAAATAAAATATTTATAAAAAAAAAAAGGAATAGCTGAGGATATTATTAACTTGATATTAGGAAACATGGGGCGCCTGGGTGGCTCAGTCGTTAAGCGTCTGCTTTCGGCTCAGGTCATGATCCCAGGGTCCTGGGATCGAGCCCCACATGGTCGGGCTCCCCGCTGAGCGGGGAGGCTGCTTCTCCCTCTCCCGCTCCCCCTGCTCATGCTCTGTCTCTTGCTTTCTCTCTCTCAAATAACTAACTAAATTCTTGAAGAAAAAAAAGGGGGGTGGTGGCCGGAGGAACAAAAGGATGACATGAAAATCTGAGACTATGCCACACCCCCGCCCTCGGCCCCAGGGCGGCCATGCGACCCTCTGTCTGTCGGTGGGTGGGCATCCCGCTTCCCCGCACACCTGCTGTGAGGCCTCCCGGGAAAGCACGTCGTATCTCTCCTTAAACGGGATGGCCCGCTCTTCCAGAGGCGCAGCGTCCTCCCCGGAACAATTCGCATCGCTCCTCCGGAAAAGCGGGAAATGCTGCCGGGATTTGGAGAGGGTCACGTGTGACCAGCAGGCGCTGGCCGTGGGGCCGGACCCCCGGAGCTGGGGCGGCGCGGTCCCCACTCACCTGCAGGAGCACCGGGGCCGACGCGGGCAGCAGCGGCGCCCCCCGGCACGGGCCGGGGCCACGTTCCTGCGGTGAGAAATCAGTTAAACCGCCAGAGCCGGCCCTCCCTGAGCGGTAGGAAAGGAGGAGGGAGCTGAGGGATGCACCAAACACGAAGTGCAGCGACCGCCCCCACAGAAGATGCCAGAACAGAAGCACCTGTGCCTTCAGGTGCTCTCCTACCTCGCGGGAGCAATTCAGTTTGTGAGAAATTTCGATGAGTTCGGCTTCCGCTTCAGAGCAAATGTGGCAGCCATCCCCTTCCTGGGCGACGCTGTTGACCAGCACAAAACTGAGGCGGAGGGAGCAAGCGCAGAGTCAGTGCTCCGACCTTCCCGGTGCCGGGCTCCGGCCACACTGCCCCCGTGACCCTAAAGCTGAGTGCCCACAGCGTGAAGAACATGCCCCAGAACAGCCTGAAGCCTCAACTCGACTACCGTGTTTTAGGCACGAGTTGATATTAAGAAAGCACGAGGGCGTTATACTGGGAGTGGAGTCTGAGACACGGTCAAAGGAGTTTCAACCTTGAATGTGTGAGAAATCCCAGATTACAGAAGCTCTGAGGTCGGACCACCACTGTGCCCAGCATGTCACCATGTGCCTGGTCTGTAAAGACGGGGATACAGCAGCACACCCATGCCACGGACTCATGAGGACCGAAGGCAGTACAACCCTGCCTGCCACGAGGAAGTCCTCGGTAACCGCTCAACACTGTTACCATGACACTCAGCGAACCACACGCCGCATTTGCAGACATCTACACGCGCAGGAGACAAGGCTGGGGGGCAGGGAGGGGGTGGCCAGAGCTAACTGCTACAGATGATCCCAGACCAGGGTGCGGATAAAGTCAGTGATGGTTGCCCTCTACAAACCACTCTACCTTCATGAGACTTTTATAGACTCCCATTAAGTATGCTTTTATTTCCTACACACTTACCAACTGGGCATGAAGAAGGTACGTGTCAGTAAACACTGCGGGAAATTTAAAGAACCTTAGCGATTAGGAGCTGACAAACCAAATGATCTGAAATATGATCAGTGTGTTTTAAAGTTTCTTAAACTCTATGCTAAGGGAAAAAGAACTAAAACTCTGTCACGTCTTTATAGGACTCAGGAAAGGAAGCTACAGAGACTTGGTCCTAAGGGCAAAGGGAGGGGAGGAGTGAGCATTGGTGGAGAACCCCTGACCTGGTCTCTGGGAGTGTCACAGATCATCTCTTGTGACAGACCCAGTGAGCTGCCACGGCCAAAGCCACAAGCACTGGACACCCATGGGGGCCACCATCTAAAGAGGAAGAGGCTTTCTCTCCCACCTTTTCTTTCTCCACTAGGTCTGCAGCCAGAACAATGTGTACAATCTTGTACACTGCACTGTGAACACACACCCAGACCTGAGAGGGTCCGGAGACAGCACGAAAATGGCCACATAGAAGGGGAGCTGGTGCTCATGGTCAGGCGAAAGGGTTGGGAGGCTTTGGTCTACAAATCAAGGCTGACAGGAGTGGGGGTGTACACAGCTGAAGCACAGTGAACACACGTGCCCCCAAATCCTGGGTGAGCAAACCCACAAGAGCACCCTTTATAAAGGGAAAGAAGTACATTTTGAACAAATAAAAATATGCTCCTTTACAGATTGGGCTGATTAATTTTCTACCACCCAGAGACATTGCAGGCAGGAAGAAAATGCCCTCGGTGGCCGGGCAGAGTCATACACTGGCCGGTCCACTTGCAGCTTGTTAAGGAACACCAGGCTGCTAACCCTGACAGTGACCATCAGGGAGGGATGAGGCCTGTGGGGCCTTTATCAGAAACTGTACAGCAGGTCACACAGAGCCCGGCTCCGACCCAGGATGACAGCTCCCTTAAAAAATGAAGTTCAAAGGACAGAAGGGGCTTCGTAAGAATTCACAAATAATACTCACTTCATTCCTTTCCAAGAAAACAGCCTTTCAGGGTTGAAAACTTTCTCAAATCGTTTTATTTTATATGTGCTCATCCTATATTCAATTGTAAAAAGAGACATTTTTCAGAGCAAGCCATTTTAGGACCTCTTAAGAGTTAGCAGAAACACGGGAAATAACTCGGGATCTGAGCGCCGGGCTAGCTTTGGGAGGGGAGAGCTCCAGCCGCCCCAGGCTGTCAGGGGCAAATCTCAGCTCCACCACTGAGTGACTGCAAGGCCTAGGGCAAGTGACTTAGTCCCCAGAGCCGCAGTTTCCTCACCAGCACAATGGGTAAAATACTAGGACCATCGGAAAGAAGAAATGAGTGGGTATATGGAAGTAAAGTGCTTAGCCCCGATGTTTATAGCAGCATTATCCACAAGAGCCCAACTAAGGAAAGAGCCCATCAACTGAGGAAGGGATAAAGAAGAGGCAGCCTATATACATGGAATACTACCCAGCCATCAAAAAAATGTGAAATCTTGCCATTTGCAATGATGTGGATGGAGCTAGAGTGTATTAGGCTGAGCAAAATAAGTCAGGCAGAGAAAGACAAATATCATATGATTTTACTCATATGTGGAATTTAGGAAACAAAACAAATGAACATAGGGGAAGGGGGAAAAAAAGAGAGAAGCAAACCATAAGAGATTCTTAAATAGAGAACAAACTGAGGGTTGCTGGAGGGAGGTGGGTTGGGGATGGGCTAGATGGGGGATGGGCATTAAGGAGGGCACTTGTTAAGATGAGCACTGGGTGCTGTATGTAAGTGACGAATCACTGAATTCTACTCTAGAAACTAATATTATACCATATGTTAACTAGAATTTAAATAAAAATTTGGAGGAAAAAAATAATAAAGTGCTTAAAACAGGCTGACACATCATAAGCACTATGTAAATATTATTTACAGAAGTCTAAATGGTCTTGTTTTCTGAGTCCCAAAGAAAATAATTGGTCATTAATGTAAGTTTCAAGTTAGAATCACCCAAGGGCACGTAAAAATCATTTATTCAACAGAGATTCGTTAAGGGTGTACAATGTGCCAAGACAAAAATCTTCACCCTTGTGGAGTTTATGCTCCAGGGCTTACATCTTTCAAGGACACCAAATGTCCCCCCCACAGCACAAATAAGGCTCTCACCTGAATGGTGGCAGGTTTAAAGTTACAGTTAATGAAGCTCTCAGGGTGCAATGCTTCGCTGAATTACTTACTGATAGTGGAAGCCAATGTCATGGTTGCCAGCAACCACCTTCAGCTGCACGTGACGTGGGTGTCTGAATATTTTCTGAAACCGTGCCACATCATCTGCCCAGGCCTATGAGAGAAACGGGTCACTGCTGAGACCCAGAGAACCCTCTCTTCCCTGTGGCTAAAAAAAAAAAACAACAACACGCTCCCTATTCTGATGATGAGAAATTAATTCCCCCCATCCGAATCAGGTTAATGTAGAACCTAGAATTTCTAATTCTATGTCATACTGCTTTTTTCTAAGACTTAATATTTTAATTTATTTAATTTGATGTCAGCTTTTAAATGGTATTCCCCGTATTAAAACATTAGATGGCAATTAATATACCCATTATTTTAAGATCCCCTAAAAAAGATCCCCTGAAGCCCATGCATGGACCCCAGGTTGATAATCACTCCAGATTTGGACACATTATAAGAATAGGCTCTTAGGAAATGTCAAGTAAATTCATGTGTCTCAACCAAGACAAGGATGAGCACATCCCTCATCTTAGCATTTCCCTGTGGCTACCACTGTGGGAATGAGAACGGATAGGATATGGGAGAAAAAAAAGACAAAATCCAACCAAAATTTCAACATCATTCTGACATTTACTTTAACTATTAAAGCTTGAGAATTATGTTTGTATCATTCTGCTTCTTATTAAGCCTAAAAACATAAATTGGACAAACACAGGGAAGACAATACTTAGTTGGATAGTAATCAACTTTATCCTAAAAGTTTTTTTTTTTTTTTAAGATTTTATTTATTTGACAGAGAGAGACACAGTGAGAGAGGGAACACAAGCAGGAGGAGTGGGAGAGGGAGAAGCAGGCTTCCTGCAGAGCAGAGAGCCTGATGCAGGGCTCGATCCCAGGACCCTGGGATCATGACCTGAGCCGAAGGCAGACGCTTAACAACTGAGCCACCCAGGCGCCCCTATCCTAAAAGTTTAAGTAAGGCCCAATCTAGAGAAATATGCTAGAGAGAGAGTCCTGCAATATATTTACAAAGACTTCACTTTAACAAATAAAATTAGAAAAACAAAAATAGGGGTGCCTGGGTGGCTCAGTCAGTTAAGCATCTACCTTCGGGATCTCAAGGTCCTGGGATCAAGCCCCATGTCAGGCTCCCTGCTCAGTGGGGAATCTACTTCTCCTTCTCCCTCTGCCCCTCCTCTCCCGCTTATGATTTCTCTCTCTCTCTCCCAAATAAATAAAAGCTTTAAAAAAATAAAATAAAATGCTGTCCTTAATTCGCAAAAGCAACATATACATCCAACCTCATTTTATAACTAGTTGCTTGTTATATATAGTATTTCCATTATCTCATATTCAATTATGAGACCGTATAAACAGTGGGTTGCGCTTTTTTTAAGATTTTATTTATTTATTTGGCAGAGAGCACAAGTAGGCCGGCAGAGGGAAAGGGAGAAGCAGGCTCCCCACTGAGCACAGAGCCCAACGTGGGGCTCAATCCCAAGACCCCAGGATCATGACCTGAGCTGAAGGCAGACACTTCACTGAGCCACCCAGGTGCCCCAAACCGTGGATTTCTAACCAGATCTGGACCAAGACTTTCTGTGTAAAGCTTTAGGATTATCTTGGGAAATGCCAATGGCTTTTTTAAAAATATCCCACCCCAGCATAGCCACTCTGGAAAACAGTATGGAGGTTCAGTTAAAAGTAGAGGTACCGGGGCGCCTGGGTGGCTCAGTCGTTAAGCGTCTGCCTTTGGCTCGGGTCATGATCCCAGGATCCTGGGATCGAGCCCCGCATCGGGCTCCCTGCTCTGCAGGAAGCCTGCTTCTCCCTCTCCCACTCCCCCTGCTTGTGTTCCCTCTCTCACTGTGTCTGTCTCTGTCAAATAAATAAAATCTTTAAAAAAAAAAAAAAGTAGAGGTACCTCTGAAACAAATAATGCAATATATGTTAAGAGAAAAAAAAAAGAAGGTAGCAGGGAGGGAAGAATGAAGGGGGGAAATTGGAGGGGGAGTCGAACCATGAGAGACGATGGACTCTGAAAAACAAACTGAGGGTTCTAGAGGGAAGGGGGTGGGGGGATGGGTTAGCCTGGTGATGGGTATTAAAGAGGGCACTTTTTGCGTGGAGCACTGGGTGTTATGCACAAACAATGAATCATGGAACACTACATCAAAAACTAATGATGTAATGTATGGTGATTAACATAACAATAAAATTTTTTTTAAAAGTAGAGGTACCCCACAACCCAGCAATTGCACTACTACATATTTATCCAAAGAATACAAACATAATGATCCAAAGGGGCACATGCACCCCAATGGTTATAGCAGCAATGTCCACAATAGCCAAACTATGGGAAGACCCCGATGTCCAACGACAGGTGAATGGATAAAGATGTGGTGTATATATAAAAACATGTACACACACACACACACACACACACACACACACACACACACACACTGGAATACTACTCAGCCATCAAAAAGAATGAAATCTTGCCATTTGCAACAATGTGGATGAACTAGAGGGTATTATGCTAAGTGAAATAAGTCAGTCAGAAAAGACAAATACCACATGATTTCACTTATATGTGGAATTTAAGAAATAAAACAGAGGATCATAATAGAAGGTAAGGAAAAATAAGATGAAAACAGAGAAGGAAACAAACCATAAACTCTTAACTCTAGGAAACAAACTGAGGGCTGCTGGAGGGGAGGTGGGTGGGAGATGGGGTAACTGGGTGATGGGCATTAAGGAGGGCACGTGATGTAACAAGCACTGGGTGTTATATACAACTGATGAATCACTGAACTCTACCTCTGAAACTAATACTACACTATGTTAATTAAATTGAATTTAAATAAAAAAATTTTTTTAAATATCCCACCCCCCCCAAAATCCCTAAAACCATTCATGACCAAACATTTTTAACTAAGCAGCAAAACAGTTTTTTTCTTTTTTCCATTAATTCCAGGAATATAGTTAAGTAAAATATTTTGATAGCTAAGGTGAAAAGAGCCTTTCTCTTTGGTTATGGAAAGGCTTAGGTCATCTCAACACCCAGATGGAGGCCCCTGAAGGTGCAGGAAGCTCACACTAGGCCCCCATGGCTCCTTCTGCTAAGAGGAGGGGCGCCCGGGTGGCACAGTCGCAGTTAAGCATCCAAATCTTGACTTCAGCTGAGGTCATGATCTCAGGGTTATGAGATCAAGCCCCACGTTGGGCTCCGCTCTCAGCACAGAGTCTGCTTGAGTTTCTTCCCCCCCTTCTCCTCCCCCAACTCTGTGATAAATTTAAAAAATTTTAAAAATTTAAAAGGAGGGTAGCAAGTAACTTTTATAGCACAATTCTCATAATTTCATGGTTAAATGATCAAGTGTAAAGTCAAATTACATTTCAATATGTATTCTGTAATTTTGGTGACAAGTGAAATTGCATGCACCTTGGCTCTTTTTCCCTTTCCCAAGAGGCTCACAGGAATGTGCATTCCAACAAAGTGAGCTCTGACTAATCTATTTCCTATGTAAACAAACACAGTGGACAGTCAAACAACATGAGTTTGAACTGGGAGTGTGTCAGCTTATACATGGGCTTTTTTTTATAAAGACAGTACAGTACCGTGAAGGTATTTTCTCTTCCTTATTATTTTCTTAGCAACATTTTCTTTTCTCTAGCTCACTTTATTCTAAGAATACAGAATAGAATACACGTAACATACAAAGCGTGTATTAACTGACTGTGTTACCAGCAAGGTTTCCAGTCCATAGTGGGCTATTAGTAGTTAAGTTTTGGGAGAATCAAAAGTTATACACAGGGGCGCCTGGGTGGCTCAGTCGGTTAAGCGGCTGCCTTCAGCTCGGGTCATGATCCTGGGGTCCTGGGATCAAGCCCCGCATCAGGCTCCCTGCTCAGCGGAGAGCCTGCTTCTCCCTCTCTGCCTGCCTCTCTGCTTACTTGTGCTCTCTATCCCTCTGTCAAATAAATAAAATAAAATCTTTAAAAAAAAAAAAAGTTATACACAGATTTTTGACTGCACAAGGTCAGCATCCATACCCCGGCAATGCCCAAGGGTCAACTGTCTAAGATTAGCTTGCCTAACCCAAGACTGGCATGAGATACAGATCCTAATAAGCTTCAAGATGGACTATACATGTTTAGTGTTGGTGCTAAGCAAAACTTCTAAGCCTCACAGATACTGCTTCATGGATTTTTCTGGGCTGCCTGTCCTGGACCCTCCAAGTAGGATTAGGGTGCCCGGATCACAGGGTCCTACCTGGGAGGAGCTCCACTTCCCTTCATCAAAGATGTCCCCTAGAATGAAGACGACTTCTGGCTGCAACAACCACAGAGACGTCTGAAAGGCTCTCTCCATTTGCCACTCCCTTGAGGTCAACAGGAAAAAGCACAGCATCAGTCTCTTTCTTAAGTAGAGCCTAGATCTGTCTTATGGGCCATTTAAAAAGTGAACCGAATAGTCCCATTCTCCTTCCACGGCCCCACCCCTGCATTCCCATCCAGGCCCGCAAGGGTCCGAGTCCGTATCTGATTAAATGTGGGGAACAAGGAGCCCGAGGGAGAGTCGGGCTGCCCTGCCCACACATCTTAAAGGCTGACTTCCCCTATGTGGCACCCACAGATCAGACCCCACACTGCACCCCAGAAGCCATCCCTCAGTCACGACAAGCCCCAAAGGTCAGGGAGAGCTCAACGCAGCTTCCAAAGATGCCCTGCGTAGACTGATTTTGCACCACACCAAGATGATAGCATCTGCCTTAAGTTTCACTTCTCCTTGAAGGACCTCAACTTCCTGCCTGCCTTCAGAATTGGGGGAAGATAATGGGAGAATCAGACTAGCCAATATCAAAACTGTAAATCCTGTGGATTTCAGACATCCAAGGACTCATCCTGTGGATAAGACAAGTGAATGAAAAGAGCCTAGGCGGCACTTGGAGGACTCAGTCGGTTAAGCGTCTGCCTCCAGCTCAGGTCATGATCCCGGGGTCCTGGGATCAAGTCCCGCAATGGTCTCCCTGCTCAGCAGGGAGTCTCCTTCTCCCTCTGCCCCACCTCCCCCCAGCTCGTGCTCACTCTCACTCACTCTCTCTCAAATAAGTAAATAATCAAAAAAAGAATCCCGCCTGGGATCCTGAACCTGACAGGCAACGACTTAACACCCCAGCTCCACCCATAAGCCCTTGTCCGGCCTTGAGAATGTCACCTACTCTCTCTGATTCCTATTCTTCGTTGGTAAATGGGAATAATAAAACCGATTCTCACAGGGCAGTTACGGGATTGAATGAGATAGCATTTGTAATGCGCCCAGCACAGCACCCACACACCGTAGGCGTTCACAGGTCAGTGCTTTCTCGAAACACCCTCCCCTCTCCCTGGCCAACTCTTGACCTGTGTCATTTTCCTAAGGATCCCAATTCTTCCCTCCTTTTTAAGGCAACCTCCTTAAGCAAAATTTCCAAGCCTCACAGAGTTCCTCCCCTACCAAAGGGGACTGTGACATCCCAGGGCACAGAAATAGGGGAAGATAATTTGAGGTCAGCGAGGACCCTGGTCTAGGCCCCATATAAACTGCTGCACAGCGCACACCGCCACTCAAGATACCTCCCAAAATTCAGTTCTGTTTTTCTTGACTGAATGTTACTCACCCTGGAGAAGAAAGCATCTAGAAATTGCAGCAGCAAGAGGGCAGGGAAGAAAGCTCAACTGGTAAGGCCCAAATGAAGTCAAAGGAAGGCTCACCTAGGCCCTTCTCTATTTCATGCCTCCTTTGGTTCAAAACTTGAGTACAGAAGGACGGCAGCCCCTCCATCCTTCCTTCTTTTGTCTCGCCTTCTTCCCTCACCCCTGGGGACGTTATACCTCTCCCCCTCCCACTCAGCATAAGGCTCACCCATATCCAGAGTCCTCCAGGGATAGTCCTGCTCACAAGGATAAAGACCTGTTTGGGGAGGCTCAAATGCAGTCATGAGGAAAAGGGGTCATGGTACGGGGGTGGGTCACCAGGGGCAAGAAGAGAACTCTGCTGCCCTGGTGGCTGAAAGCCCATCAGTCACCTTCTGGTGGGCGTCATTCACGACAGCCAAAAGGTGGACGTATCCATCAACAGATGCACGGAGAAACAAAACGTGGTCTACATATACAGTGCAATAGCACTCCGCCTTAAAGAGGGAGGAAATTCTGACACATGCCCCAACACGGACAGACCTGGAGGATATTCTGCTCAGTGAAATAAGCCAGACACAAAAGGACAAATACTGTACGACTCCACTTATATGGGGGACCTAGAGGAGTCAAATCCAGACAGACAGAAAGTAGCATGGTGGGGGCAGGGGCTGGGAGAAGGGGGAACAGGGAGTCGGTATTTAATGAGGACCAAGTTTCAGTTTGGGAAGAAGAAAACATTCTAGAGATGGCTGGTGGTGACGGCTGCACCACCGTGTGAATGTACTTGATGCCACTGAAATACACACTTAAAACTGGTTACGATGGTAACTTTTATGTTACGTGTACTTTACCACAATTAAATTTTTTAAAAAGCCTTTTTTTTTAAATTTTATTTATTTATTTGTCAGAGAGCGAGAGCACAAGCAGGGGGAGCAGCAGGAAGAGGGAGAAGCAGGCTCCCCACCAAGCAGGGAGCCCAACGCGGGGCTTGAACCCAGGACCCTGGGATCATGACCTGAGCCGAAGGCAGACACTCAACCAACTGAGCCACCCAGGCGCCCCTAAAAAGCCTTCTGATGGGAAAGCAGGTGGACTCTGCTGGGCCAGTCTAAGTTGGAGAGACAGGACCTGATCCTCTCCCCAGGGTGACAGCCACACATCTGCTCTGCTCCGGCTGCCCAGAGCAGGCAAACACCAAGTGGGCTCAAAATGACACACCAGCAACTGCCAGGGGGGACCACCAACCCAGGCCGACCACACCCAGGTGCCAGACCTTGCCATGGACATTTTCCTCACAAGGCCTGTGAAGTCTCTGGTATTAGCCAGTTACAAACAAGGAGGCAGAGTCGGGCTTGGAGGGGCCCTAGGAAATGGTCCAAAGTCACAAGACTCAAACCCAGACCTGCCTCCCAAATCCTGGGTCCTTATAAATAACAGATGCTCTGCAAACAGTATGTTCAAGGAAGAGTCAAATGCCCCATGTGTCTCTCTTTGAGAGGAAAATAACTAAGGACTATCCTGACCTATAGGGAGAGGGATCCACCCTTTTTGCCTGTAGAATTTCAGAAAGATTCCTGATTGTAGCTCCTACCTTCGTAATTTGTCTAGCCAATGGCCTCGCACTTCCCCAAGCAAGTGGGTATCAGCCAAAAACATGGCTTTCAGAGTCTTCTGTCCACTGTTGTGGGCTGGAGTTTTCACCTCAGGCCAATCACACCGAAAGATCACTAAGTAATAGATTAAAAATTCACAAAACAGAAGCACGGCAAAGACAACAGGTGTGAGTTTCAACAGCAAGGAACTCCTTCTCTTTAGCAGACAAAGATGCTGCCTTCCAAACCCCAGCCTGATCAGAGCCATGGCTCCTGCCCAAGAGTCACTAGCATCCAGGAGTGAAATCCATCAAGAATTCACCATGAGAGAACTGTGGAATCCTGGGTAAGGTGCAGCCGGTGTCCAGTGCTTAGCCATGTACCTACAGGGGAAAGAGAAAGGATCAGATTATGTTTCTTAATAATGCCATAAATACTCCTTCTATTAAGAACTAATGAGGGCGCCTGGGTGGCTCAGTTGGTTAAGCAACTGTCTTCGGCTCAGGTCATGATCCTGGAGTCCTGGGATCGAGTCCCACATCGGGCTCCCTGCTCAGACCCTCCCCGCCTCATGTGCTCTCTCTCTCTCATTCTCTCTCTCTCAAATAAAAAAATAAAATCTTAAAAAAAAAAAAGAACTAATGAGTTACAGGGGTGCCTGGGTGACTCAGTCGTTAAGCGTCTGCCTTCGGCTCAGGTCATAATCCCAAGGTCCTGGGATTGAGCCCTACATCGGGCTCCCTGCTCCGCGGGAGGCCTGCTTCTCCCTCTCCCACTCCCCCTGCTTGTGTTCCCTCTCTCGCTGTGTCTCTGTCAAATAAATAAGTAAAATCTTAAAAAATAATAATAATAACTAATGAGTTACAGAATCCCACCTATATTCCCAAATAAATGAAATGTCCAGTACTTGTACAGGATAATATGTTGGATCATGCTATAAGAATGATCCTCCCTCTAACACGATAAAGTTTTACTGCCACTTTGGAAATCATTAAATAAGAATCCATCCAGAGGATGTTAAGGTAGGAGACATAAGGGGCACCTTGGTGGCTCAGTCAGTTAGGCCTTCGGCTCAGGTCATGATCCCGGGGTCCTGGGATTGAGCCTCACGTCGGGCTCCCTGCTCAGAGGGGAATCTGCTTCTCCCTTACCCTCTGCCCCCCAACTCGTGCTCTCTCTCAATCTCGAATAAATAAATAAAATCTTTAAAAAAAAAAAAGGTAGGAGACATAATGGAACAGTCGACAAATATTAAGTAAGTATAACTTGACCCCCAAAACTTGACTCCCACCCCTCGACCTTACAAATCAACAGGCCAGAAGCCCCCTGTATTGTGTTGCCTCTGGTGTGAATTCAGCACTTTTCCATATTCCTTTTCCACAAAAGAATTGAATATTCATGGACAATGTGCTTCAGGGATGCGAGCAATACATTCTACTCTGGGCTCAGAGACCAGGGTCTCACAGAGCCACCCATCTGTCAACACAGCATCTGGATTATATGTTTGCAAGAATACGGCTTTTCACCTGCAAATGAGCCTTAAAATTCTGGATGGCCTTCTGTTAGAAGACATCTATGTACAGTGGTTTCTCTATGGGAAACTTTAAAATGTTTATGGATTCTTCTGAATCATAAATGAAGTTTGTACCTATTTAAAAAAAGAAAAGCATCCACTTCCGACACATCTGAAGAGAAAGGTCGGTACAAGGATGATCTGAAACAGGCTTTAAGAAGTGACATGTGGAGCACATGGGGGGCTCAGTCATTAAGCGTCTGCCTTCGGCTCAGGTCATGATCCCAAGACCTGGGATTGAGTCCCACATGGGGCTCCCTGCTCCGCGGGAAGCCTGCATCTCCCTCTCCCACTCCCCCTGCTGGTGTTCCCTCTCTCGCTGTGTCTCTCTCTGTCAAATAAATAAATAAAAATATTTAAAAAAAAAAAAGTGACATGCAGGGCGCCTGGGTGGCTCAGTCGTTAAGCGTCTGCCTTCGGCTCTGATCATGATCCCAGGGTCCCAGGATCAAGCCCCTGGGGAGGGGGGTCTGCTTCTTCCTCTCCCTCTGCCCCTCCCCCTAGCTTGTGTGTACTCTCTCTCCCGCTCAAAATAAATAAATAAAATCTTAAAAAAAAAAAAAAAATAAGTGACATGCTACTGAAGTTCCTCACCTTAGGCTCCACACGAGGATCTTAAAGGACAGTGACCTGATAGCTGCAGAGAACTGGTAAGGGAGAAGCTCCAGAAGTCTCTCGGGGAAGGTTCAGAGGGCCACTGACCACAGATCCTCACTGAGCCAATAAACATAGAAAATCCCTTCCTGGGGGGGATGTTTTTCTAAGATGAATCCAGGAAACCTCATACAGCTGATAGGCAAGGGGTCAAGAACACTCTCTCCTGGAGGGTCTAAAATAATCTCTGCAAAATTCAGTTTCCAGAACCGTCCACATCTGCACATAAGCCTGAGTCCCTATAAGAGTCCCTAGCTTACAGCACAGTGGTGCTCTACATACCAATCAACCATTAAGCTACAGAAAAATTTTTAAATCTTACCTAAAGAAAAATAAATGGGGGCAAACATGTATTTTGAGCCATTATCAAAAGTTTAAAACAGAACCTCAGAATTGAAAGTGATAAATGATGGATGCCCTTCCCGTTCCTCCAAATGGAGCACTGACAACATCTGTGACTTTTCAGAAAAGAAATGACAGGATCGGAGGAGCAGGAATGGCTCTGGGACCAAGTGTTCACCCTTCCTCTGCCTGCTCTCGAATGGCGTTATTTACAGTAAATCCTTGATTGAAGAGGGAACAGGACACGAACCCCAGATTGTAAATGTGTCCTTGCAGATAGGGAGGTCAAAGGCAGGGGTGCATGTAATCTGGGATCAAATGCTCTTCCTGCAATTTTACTCCGAACACCCATCTGTCTTTATCAAGCGGTCCGACCACCAGTGACCACGTGCCACACGCTGTCCTCTCCTCAGAACCTCCTCGCCACCTCGGTTTCTCGAAGGATGAACCACGCGCGCCACATATCTAGAATCGCCGGATGCTTATTCTTCCAACCGGGGACATCTTTGAGAGGGAAAAGTGGCATTAAGGATAATAAAGACGGGGCAGTGGTGTAAGCCAGGGCAGCCCCAGGCCCCTCAGGGAGCGCGGTCCCCCTGTGCATGATTCCTCCCTTGAGGCTAGCGCTTCATCCGATGCCGAAGAGGACAGAGTAACGAGGACAGAGGACAGAGTAAGGCGTCTCTTGCTGTCATCCATCTCTCAGCAATCGAACTCCAGAATGAGGTACAAATGCCCCTAGTAACCATTCACCAGGGAGACAAAGAACATGGATCCTCTATTTGGGTGATGCTCGTAAAAGAGAGAATGAGAGAGCCTCGAAGGAACCTCTCAATACCATCTCATTTCCTTTGGTTTGATTCAATCCAATGTCTCAGAAGCAACCATGTGGTGTTACTATCTCACTTTCTTTCAAAAGGCCCAAGAGTCTTCTGAAATCCTAACCACGGCAGCTGAAACTTCCCAAAAACCTTCACGTTTCCTCAGACTTCGGAGGGTGTGCCCGGGAGGAAGGAGCCCCGCCTCGTGGGGCCAGCCCTACAATTCTCCTAACATGCAGACCTTTGCTCTTTAGAGGCTCCAGGCTCTCCGAGATGAAAACCAGAATGACGACTTCATAACTGCTCCTCTACACCCACTTCCTTTCATCTAAGAAGCCGGTTTCAGGAGTTGTAACTAAGATCCGGAACACGACCAGGGGAGAGGAGCGGCCTGGAGCAAGGTGGGCCCAGGCTGCCGTCCAAGTGTAGCACACAGCGGGGGTCAGGGGCTGAGGGGCTTCCCTGGAGCCACGGAAGCAGTACAGGACACACAGAGACAAGCCAGGGGAGCTCTCCCCAACCAACCCAGCTCCCATGTACCTTTGATCCCGCTGACTCCTGGCCGGCCTCTGGCCCCAGGCTGACAGCTCAGATAAGGAGGGCCACGGGGCAAACAAAAGGTTGGGGGAGGCCCTGCCCTTCCCTCAAGCATCTGTGTTCTTTTTTCTGTAAAGACATAAAAGATATCCTACAGAGAACCCTTCAGCCAGAGGACTTAGAATAAAGGAAGGGAAGGAAGAAGGGAGGTGGGAGGAAGGAGGGAGGGGAGGAAGGAAGTGGGGAGAGAGGAACGGATGAGGGGAAGGGAAAGAGGGAGAGCAAGCTAGCGGTACCGTTACATATTTTCTTGTGAAAACCCCAACACCATGTGACTCAGCTCTGTGGTATAAGAAACAGAACTCCTCATGGGGTGAAAACCATTGTGTGACAACTTCTGACACCAAATCCTTAAACAAAATTCCTTTTGCTCAAATCTTGGAAATCTGCTTTCTCTATCCAAACTTATTGTACTACTCTGCAAATTAGTACTCCCCAATGTTGTCTTCAAGGTGATGGCCAAAACACACCCACACACCCCTCTTCCCTCCTGAAATGAAGCCAGGGTAATTTTTAGGGCCAATGGGGATGGGGCAGGGGGCCCACTGTCCCCCTAGAAATGCCACAGCAAGGCCAGCACCAGGCACACATGAGGTAATGAGCTCCTACCTTATGGCTGCTTCCAGATGCCTATAAAGTGCCCTTCTCCTTATGCTCAAGCCAACCTCAGGGACAGCACGGCGTCCTCATTTTCGGCCGCAGCTGACCCATGAAAAGAACATGCTGAGCACGAGGAATTGGGAGCAACGGACATTTCCAGCACAGGGGCAGACCTGGCACAACGGAGCCTACCTTTCTCGGCAGGAAAGAGGAAAACCTCTACAGGGAACCAGCCACTCTTTCCTCTTCCAGTATCTCATCCTAGGTTATGAATACCAACCGGCAGGAAACAGCTGCGCTGAACTGGAAAAAAGTCCAACGTATAGCTCTGCTATGTGACCTTGGGCAAGCCACTTACCCTTTCTGAGCCTCATAATGGGGGTCACAGTGCTGTCTCCACTGATGTCATGGGATTGACAGAAATTATGTTCACAAATGTGCCTTTTTTAAACAGTAAAACCTTCCGTGAGGCACGTACGTCAGGACTGGATCAGAGAGCAAGCCTTCCACTCTGGTGAATTCAGAAGCAATGGAACTCAAGGCAAATAGCCATAATCAGAGTAGGGAGAATGAAGGCAGCAACTGCAGAGAGTCGTTCTCCCTCATGTACCGAGTTGGACTTTCTAATACCTGACATCCAAAGTCCCTAGACCCTTTCCTCACTAAACGTAAACCTGAACTTGTATCTCAACCATAATGAGTAGCTCAGTGACTTAAAATCCCCACAGCCACGCAGCCCGAATAACCAAATGCTGCTCTGTCTTCCACATCTCGGCTCTCACAGGCTAACGAAGAGAAACTGTGTTCTTTCCAAGATAAAATGAAAGGGGGGCCGGTCCTTCATCGGAGCACTGTGGAGTGCTCTACCCAGGCCCAAATGCGGCTAACTCTTCCTGCCTCCTCCATAAATACAGGGGGGGAATGTAATAATCCACCTTATATCGCTAGACGTACAACTAGGCCGTGAGTGCTTTCAATAAAGAGACTATTCTCTCTGTGTGTTGCCTTCTCATGGTTAAGTGATGAAGAATTCTGTCCATGTTAAGACACTTCTCTGCATTAGCAGACTTAGGTTCAAAAAGCAAAATTACTAAAATGTGATTGTTTTCAACTCACCCCCCCGCAAAGTGAATCTGTCAATTTTATTAAGCTCATCAAACGATATCCCAGCAGGAAAACTACATAGGCCTCCCAACACTGTTCAGTCTGGTTGGGATCAAAAGGCAGACACACGACGCCATCTCAGGACCCTTCCTGACTTGCCTATAAGAGAGCAAGGTTTGATATTAAAGGTCCCAGGAGGCCCTGGTGAGAACTAAAGTGCAGAATCTGTGCGATTTTGATTTCTACCCCCTACACACACCTTATTCCTGACATCACACATGATGACATCAGTCACATTTACCACCCCGTAATTTTTCCAAAAAGCTGTAAGAAACCCATCCCTGGTTTATGAAATCGGTTTGGTGGCTGGTGACGAAAGTTTTTAAAAATAAGATAGAATAAAACAGAATCGAAAACATTAGCCTGCAGCGTACATAGTAAAGGTAAGGCATCATAGAGTTGATTTCACACAACTCTTGTCTCTACTTTTCTGTGCATGGATCTGTGTGTCCTGGTCAGGATATAAAATGTATTTCTCACTGCACTAGTCTGTGAGCTCCCTAAGTCAGGCACCTTACCTTGTCCATCCTCACATCCCCCCTCTGCCAGTGCCCAGGATGGTGCCCACAAACAGTAAGTGCTCCATAACATCTGTGGAGTGAATGGCCTACATTTAACCTTATTGTCCCAAACATTTTAGAATTACAAACATATATTATCACTCCTTTGGTCTTTAAATGCGTCACAGTCTCCAGCCATAGGAACAGGAGGAACAGATTCAAGACGATGTCCTGTTCCCCTTGGTCAGAGGAACAGGCAGGAATTTAAAGACAGGCAAACAGGTGCACAGAACACATTTTCTCACAGCCCCTGCGTGGAACTCTTACAAAGGAAAACCTTGCATGGCCCTCTGGTGACAGGGAAGTAATGACAATGTTCCCCGAGCCCTTTTGGAGAAAACAGCTTTCCTTCTAAAAGGGAAGTACATGAAAATGCCTGGTAGCGCCTGGGTTCTCTCCTAAACCCCGAGGCTGGCATGATCTGGGCAGCTGGGGAAGCCTATATCCCAGCTGTGTTCTTTCCTAGTACGAGAGCTCAGGCAAGTCACTCAAAGAAACAGCAAAGGGGGAGGGAGAGAGACAAGATGGTTATTATAAAAAACAAAACATGGGCGCCTGGGTGGCTCAGTCGTTAAGCGGCTGCCCTCAGCTTAGGTCATGATCCCATTGTCCCGGGATCGAGTCCCACGTGGGGCTCCTTGCTCAGCGTGGAGCCTTCTTCTCCCTCTCCCTCTGCCTGCCACTCCCCCTGCTCTTGCTCTCTCTCTCTCTGACAAATAAATAAAAAAATTTTTTAAAAAAGAACTGAAAACAGGGACCCAGATATATGTACACCCATGTTCACAGCAGCATTATTCACAAGAGTCAAAAGGTGGGATCGACCCCAATGTCTGTGGACAGATAAGCAAAATGTGCTATATGTATATCTAGATATAGTGGAATATCACTCAGCCCTTAAAAAGGAAAGAAATTCTGACACAGGCTACAACATGGATAAATCCTGAGGACATTATATACTAAGGTAAATGAGCCAGTCACAAAAAGACAAATACTCTATGAGTCCATTTATATGAGGTCCCTAAAGTAGTCAAATTCATAAAGACAGAAAATAGATGGCAAGGTGGTTGCCAGGGGCTGGGAAAAGGGAAAATGGGGAGATGTTGTTTCATGGGTATAGTTCCAATTTTTCCAGATGGAAAAGCACTAAAGATTGGTTGGACCACGATGTGAATACACTTAATCAGACCGAGCTATACACCTAAAAATGGTGTATAAAGAGACCCAAAAGAATGAGAAGACAAGCCTCAGACTGGAAGAAAATATCTGCAAAAGACACCTCTAATAAAAGACTGTTATCACCCCATCTACAAAGAACTCCTAAAACTCAATAACACAAACAACCGAACTAAAAAGTGGACAAAAGACAAAAGATCTTAAGCATTTCACCACACACACAAACAAAAGGAACTATGTGAGTTGACAGATGTGTTAATTAACTGTTGTGTGGATTGTGATAACCATTCCACAATGTACATGTGTATCAAATCATCACATTGTACATTTTTATTATGTACAATTTTACTTGTCAATTGTAGCTCAATATAGCTGGGAAAAAATTAATAATTAAAAATAAATTTAAAATGGGCCAAAGAACCCTAAAAGACACCTCACCAAAAAAGTATATTGGCAAATAAGTACATGAATATAGGTCATCAAAGAAATGCAAATTAAAACAAGAACAAAATATACACCTCTTAGACACACCAAAGGTAGACAAGACAGACACCTGTCAGAATCACCAAAATCCAGAACACTGGCAACACCAAATGCTGGTGAGGATGCGGAACAACAGAAACTCTCGTTCATTCCTAGTGGGAACGCAAAATGGTGTAGCCACCTTGGAAGACAGTCTGGCTGTTTCTTACAAAACTAAACATACTCTTACCCTATGATCCAGCAATTGTGCTGCTTGGTATTCTACCCAAATGAGTTTAAAACTTATGTCCACACAAGTTTTAATGTTTTTGTTTGCTGACACAAACATAGCAGCTTTCTTCATAATTGCCAAAACCTGGAAGCAACCAAGATGTCCTTCAATAGGTGAATGGATAAATAAACCGTGGTACATGTGGACAATGGAACATTATTCAGTGCTAAAAAGAAAGGAGCTATCAAGCCCTGAAAAGACATGAGGAACTTTAAATGGGTATCATTAAGTGAAAGAAGCCAATCTGAAAAGGCTACATACTGTAGGATTCCTTCTATATGACATTCTGGAAAAGACAAAACTATGGATACAGTAAAAGATCAGTGGTTGGGGGTGGGTAAGGGGGAGGAAGAGAGAGATGAACAGGTAGAGCACAGGAAATATTTAGGGCAGTGAAAATCCTCTGTATGATACTATAATGGTGGATATATGTCATACATTGTTAAAACCCATAGAATATACACCACCAAGAGCCGACCTAATGTAAACTATGGCCTCTGGGTGATTCTGATGTGTTAGTGTAGGTTCATCAATTGTAGCCAATGTATGACTCTGGTGCGGGATGCTGATAATGGGGGACAGCGTGCTACGTGGGGGCAGAGATCATATGGAAACTCTCTACTTTCTGCTCAGTTTTGCTGTGAACCTAAAACTGCTCTAGAAAATAGTCCATTAATAATTAGCAAGATGGTAAATTTTTTGTATATTTTACAATTAAATATTTTTTAATTTAATCATAACCTGATACATGATACAGCATAGATGAACCTTGAGGACATTATGCTAAGTGAAATAAGTCAGATACAGAAAGACAAAGTACTGTATGATTCTACTTATATGGGGGACCTACAGTGGTCAAATTCATAGAGACAAAGTAAAATGGTGGTTGCCAGGGCCAGGGTTGGGGGGGATGGGCAGTCATTATGTAATGGATATGGAGTTTCAACTGGGGAAAAAGAAAAAGTTCGGTAAATGGATAGTAGTGATAGTTGAAGAATAATGTGAATGTACTTAATGTCACTGAACTATAAGCTTAAAATGGTTAAAATGTTAAATTTTATATTATGCAGGTTTTCCCACAATTTTCTAAAAAAAAGAAAGAGGCACAGACACACAACACACACACACTGGACGCTACAAGCTAACGATGTCCTATAGCAAGGACTTCCTTTTGGACCTAAATAAACTACCTTTATATATAAAAAGAAGTCTGGGAGCCTGGGTTTAGGGGAATATCACTGAGTCACCTTCTCACCTTTTAAACGATACAACTGGTAGATGAGACTGGTAGGAAGGCTCTAAGTTGGCTTGTATTCCCCCACATCAGAGCACCTTTACTTGAAATAAAGCAAAATGTGTGCGTTGTTGCTGTTCGGTTAACCAATTTTTAAAGTGGATAATGCATCAGTCCCTAGAGGGTACAGCAGGTGCTGCCCTGTGGCACACAGAGAAGGAACCTGATACAAACAAAAAACCAGCTAAAGAAAAATGACTGACATGTTATTGTTCAAGAATAGCTCTCTTAAATTACAGCGCAAAATATTAACATATAATATATGCACGCCACATTGCTCTGTACTGCCTAACACATAAAAATAGCAGCTGCAATCCATAACTGCGAACAAAATACTTTATCCATTGACTGAGTTTTAACTTCAAAACCATCATTAAATATCTAAATTCCCTCCACCCAAAAACAGCATTAAAAAATGTGTAATATGCACTGATCCATAGTTTTTTCTCTTACCTGTCCATTATCTTAAATATATTAGCACAGTGTCATCAATGGCTATTCGAATGTTAAATGTTCCACCTTAAATAAGACGGATTTTTTTTTTTTTGTCAATCTACATCTGCAAACTAGAAAGTGAGAGGCGCCTACGATTTGATACCTGGGCCTTAAGTAATCATGATTCTCCAGCAAATAAATGACTAATTCCCAGAACACCGTTTTTTCAGCTAATTCTCAATCCTAAAAAGGCAAGGAGGTTCCAGTCTGCAGTAACAAGAAATAGCAATTAACCTAGAAGCCTAAATATTATAGTATGGTCATAAGAATACATGGAGAATCCTGCTTGCGGTGGGCGGCCAACCACCCGGCGAGGCAGATCGCAAAGCAAAGCCTCCCGGGTGAGCCGGGCCCCCATCACTTCACCTGTCCTCCGGCCCGCCGAGCATCCCTGCAACTTCCTGTTTCCGCGCACGTGGCCCAGCGGGTCCCCGTCACCCCTGGCACCGCGCGCCGCCGGCCTCGGGCGGGCGGAAAACACTAAGTCGCCGCGAAGAGACACGCCCCCGGCCCCGGCCCCGCCCCCGCCCGGGCCCAGGCCGGGACCCCCAGTGGGCTCCAACGGGCCGCCCCAAACGGTGGGTGCAAAGAAGCAAAACCCTACACTTGGCCGCATCTTCCGCAACGACTCGGCCCTTCGTGCCATCCTTAATGTCGTCTAGACTTTATTCTCCGCTCGGGTCCTTAGTGCCGCGGCTCCCTGGAACCCCCAGAGCAACGTCCGAGAAGGCGAGGGGCGCGCTGCAGCCGCGAAGCCGTTGGCGCCCAGAGCGCCGGCCAGGGGAGGAGGGGCGCGCCGGCCGGTGCGGATCGGGGCGGCCCCGCGGCGGCTCCGGAGCCCCGCTCGTGGTCAGGGCGGCCCGGAGCTCGCTTCCCGTTTGCACGGCCGCGGCTCGAGGCGGGCTCCGCGGGCCCTCGGTGCGCCCAGGCTCTGCGCCCCGGACGCCGGGGGCGGGGCGGCGGCGGGGGTGGCCGGCGGCCGGAAGGCTAGTCGCCGGGCCTCCGCGCGGCGCCGACAGGTGGCGCTGTGGCTGCTCGCTCCCTCTTCCCTCGCTGCCCCGCGCCCGGGATCCCACGCTGGATCTCCCTCACCTTGGGCTTCTCCAGGGCGTGACAAAGTACTTCAAGGAGTGTGTGATGAATAAACGAGATCATCAGCGCCACTATTTATTGGGGGCTTTCTTTTTCTTTTCCTTTTTTTTTTTAACTAATGTTACTTCTAACAGTATAGCATGGCATGTTCTACTTTTCAAAGAGCTTCACATCCATTATTTCAAATAATCCTCAAAATAAGCTGTAAGTCGAGCAAGAACCATTACCTCACGTTACAAGAAGTAAACTGAAGCTCGAAGCAATAACACAGGGTCTTCTAGCATATTTTTGCAAATCCGTGAGTATAGTTAATATACGGAGATATAATAGAAATCCTATAGAAAGCAACCAGCAAAATGCCTGGTATCTAGTAGGCAAGCAGTAAATGGTAACATTATTATTAATTAAGAATACTGTAATATTTTCAAATATATCCAAATGAACAATTTTATCATGAGAACTGGGACAACCTACGCACACCAATATGAAACAATAGGAAGTATGTAGCATTGTCTAAGGCATTCTAGCTGACTAGAAAAGAAAAAGAAAAAAAAGTGTGAATCCGGTAAAGCCTAAAACTAACTCCAAGCTTAAGGAAATGGACCAATGAACAGGTTAAATTACATCACCAGGAAGCAACCAGCTAGAACCAGAATGTGGAAGTTCTACAGACCAAATTACCTAACTTCTTAATTCAACAAATAAATAGCATAAGGAAAAAAAGAGAGAGGAAGAGAGGGAGATTTGTTATAAAGCAGGCTTGAGAGACACATTATTAGCCAAATGCAAATCTGTGGGCCTTGTTTGGGTCATAATCAAGACAAACTAGCTTTAAAAAAAAAATGTTTAGGGTGCCTGGGTGGCTCCATTGGTTAAGCGACTGCTTTCCGCTCAGGTCATGATCCTGGAGTCCCAGGATCGAGTCCCACATCGGGCTCCCTGCTCAGCGGGGAGTCTGCTTCTCCCTCTGACCCTCTTCCCTCTCGTGCTCTCTATCTCTCATTCTCTCCCTCTCAAATAAATAAATAAAATCTTTAAAAAAAATATTTAAAGATCGGAAACTTGGACATGGAATGGATATTAGATGCCACTAAAGAATTATTGGTGATTTTGCTATGATATTGCTATTGTGGTTATTTTTTTTTAAGATTAGAGAAACTAAAGTATTTACAACCGAATTATATGGTTTCTGGAATTTGCTTTAATATTCCAGGAAATTAAAAAAACAGGGAAGTAGGAGAAAAAACAATATTGGCAAAATGTTGATAGTGTTGAAGCAAGGAGATAGGTGTGTGGCATAGCGGTTGGAAGAAACCATCCTCCCCCACCAAAACATCCACCTCCCAATCTCTGGACCTGTGAATACGTTACCTTACATGGCAAATGGTACCTTGCAGGTATGATTAAGGTTAAGGACTTTGAGGTGGAAGTTTCTCCTGGGTTGTTATCCCACTGAATCCAGTCGATTCACTAGGTCCTTTTTTTTTTTTTTTAAGATTTTATCTATTCATTTGACAGAGAGAGAGAGCACAAGCAGGGGGAGAGGCAGAGGGAGAAGCAGGCTCCCCGCTGAACAGAGAGCCCGATGTGGGGCTCCATCCCAGGACCCTGGGACCATGACCCGAGCCAAAGGCAGATGCTTAACGACTGAGGCACCCAGGCGCCCCTAATCACTGGGTCCTTACATATGGAGAACCTTTCCCTGCTGTATGAAAGTCAGGGGGAGATAACACAGAAGGAGTGGGTTTGTCCACTCAAGCTTCTGTAACAAAACACTACCCACTGGGTGGCTTATAAACAACACAAATATTTTTCTCAAACTTATGGAGGCTGGAAGTACAAGATCAAGGTACCAGCATGGTTGCTGAGAGAGTGGGTGAGAGTCACCTGCCTCGTTCACCAGCATCTTCTGACAGTGTCCTCACATGGTGGAAGGGGTGAGGGAGCCCCAAGAAGTCTCTTTCATAAGAACACTAATCCCATTCATGAAGCCTCCATGCTCATGACTTGATACCTCCCAAGAGCCTCACCTCCAAATACCATCACATCAGTCATTGGGATTTCAACCTCTGAATTTTGAAGGGACAAAAACATTCAGTCCATAGCAGAGGGTCAGAGAGATGCAGCCTGACAAGGACTCCACCCACTGTTAATGATACTGAAGATGGAAGAAGGGGACACAAGCCAAGGAATGTGGGCAGGTGGCCCCTAGAAGCTGGAAAAGGCAAGGAAATGGATTCTTTCATAGACGCATCTTGATTTTAGCCCAGTGAGTCTTCAGTTGGACTACTGACCCACAGAATAATAACAAATCTGTGTTGTCTTAAGTCACTAAATTGACAGTAATTTGTTGCAGCAGCAATAGAAAACCAACATAAGCATTCATTGTATTTCTCTCCACTTTTGTGTATGGTTAACGTTTTTGGTAATGTTTGTTAAGTCTACAAAACACAGACCTAACTAAGAAATACATTTTAGAAGTACTTCTTTTATACCTGAAGCATAACAGAATCTGACCTAACAAAATTATTATGATGCATTTTAAATTGAAAAAGAACTATATTATATAATGTCCTCTTAAAAAGTATCATTAAGAGTTTAATTAATAAGTGAAGGGATGGAAAAACATTTATCATGCAGGGTGCCTGGGGTGGCTCAGTCGTTAAGCATCTGCCTTCGGCTCAGATCATGATCTCAGAGTCCTGGGATCAAGTCCCGCATCGGGCTCCCTGCTCAGCGGGAAGCCTGCTTCTCCCTCTCCCACTTACCCTGCTTGTGTTCCCTCTCTCACTGTGTCTCTCTCTCTGTCAAATAAATAAATAAAATCTTAAAAAAAAAACATTTATCATGCAAATGTAAGTGACAAGAAAGCCAGGGTAACAGTACTTATATTGGACAAAATAGACTTTAAGACAAAGACTGTAATAAGAGACAACGAAAGACACTATATGATCATAAAGGAAACCCATGGACAATGCCTGGGACAAAACTACTTGGCGAGGTGTCCCCACACACCCCCAAAATGTAAAGGCAGTGAAGACCAACCACAGATAGCTGCTAGACCTGGCGCTATCAGCATATGTGTGGATAGAAACAGGGGAATGATGGGGAAACAGCCTCAAGTTTCCCCAGGGAAGAAGGAGAGAACATCAGCAGAAAACAGGAAGGCCCCGCCATTCAATAGCATCAAGTGCCAGGAGCCCATGGATAGACCTGCTGAAGGGCTACAATGCCTCCTTCCCCATCCAGATAAGGATAAGACCCTGCACAGAGGGGAGGACTCCCAGGATGGAATAGGAATTTTGTAGGACATGGAGAAGAGAAATGTGGGAAAGAGAAAGTACAGATAAAAGTGGGAAAGGAACAATAGCCAAACTGTGGAAAGAGCCAAGATGTCCATCAACAGATGAATGGATAAAGAAGATGTGGTATATATACACAATGGAATATTTTGCAGCCATCAAAAGGAATGAGATCTTGCCATTTGCAACAACATGGATGGAACTGGAGGGTGTTATGCTGAGTGAAATAAGTCAATCAGAGAAAGACATGTATCATATGACCTCACG